CTGGTGGGTTTGAACCGCCAGACTTCTGGTTAGCAGTCAAGTGCCTTAGCCACTATGCTACCAGAGCTCCCTATACACCTGGGAATTCTTACAGAACATACAAATACACTTCTAGAATCATTGTCTGCCAACCCTATATATGGTCTTGGATACACTCCCCCCTGCATAGACATAGCTAACAGTTTTCAGCCTGTCCACCCATCTATCCACTCGTATACTCATGTTTGCCTTCACTGACAATGCAGTGCTGTTTTTGCAAAAGGGTTCATCTTTGTTGTCTGTACCTCCCATGTACTCTCTGTGTCTTCCTCTTCCTCAATGCCACCATGTTGATCACTCACATTTGGTACGTTGCCATTCTCTTCACCCAAATCAATACTTATATCTACCTATCTAATGGGAGCTCTGGTAGCACAGTGTTCCTTCCCCTCCCCTCTCACCCCTGATAACCAACAAAGAAAATTAAACCTTTCCTTGACTTTTTACAGTAACAGACTAATACAATATTTCTCTTTCTGTGATTGACTTATTTCACTCAGCATAATATCCTCCAAGTTCATCCACGTTATGTGGTGTTTTGCAGATTCTGCATTATTCTTTAGGGTTACGTAATATTCCATTGTGTGCATGTACCATAGTTTGGTTATCCATTCCTCAGTAGATGGACACCTAGGTTGTTTCCATCTTTTGCCTATTGTAAATAGTGCTGCAATGAACATGGGTGTGCATATGTCTGTTCTTTTCCTGGCTTTCACTTCTTTAGGATATATGCCTAGTAATAGAATGGCTGTGTCAAATGGTATTTCTCATTCCAACTTTTGAAGGAATCAGCATACTGCTTTCCACAGTGCTTGTACCACTTTACAGTACCAACGGCAAGGTATGAAAGTTCCAAACTCTCCACATCCTTGCCAGCATTTGTTATTTTCTGTCTTGAACTTTGCTACTTGTGCTGGGGCAAGATGGTATCTCATTGTTGTTTTGATTTGCATCTCTTTAATGCCTAATGATCATGAGCATTTCTTCATGTGCTTGTTGGCCACCTGAATATCCTCTTTGGTAAAGTGTCTATTCATGTCTCCTGCCCATTTTTTAACTGGATTATTTGTCTTTTTGTTATTGAGGTGTTGGGGTTTTTCAATAAATTCTAGAGATAAGTCGCTTGTCAGATATGAGATTGCCAAATACTTTTTCCCATTCTGTAGGTTCTCTTTTGACTCTTTTGGAGAAGTCTTTGGGAGCACATAAAAATTTAATTTTTAGAAGGTCCCATTCATCTAGTTTGTCTTCTGCTGTGCATTTTGGGTTGTGCTTGATAGTCTATTTATGCCATATACTAGGGCCTCTACATTTGCCCCTAGTTTTTCCTTGAGGAACTTTATAGTTTTAGGTTTCACATTTAAGTCTTTGATTCATCTGGAGTTCATTTTTGTGTATGGTGTGAGGTACAGATCTTGTTTCATT